GTGCAGTTGGGAAGATGCACTTTCTCTCGACAGGAAGCCACTTGTTACTTCTTGCTTGGGACGAAAACGCAGGCTTGGAAGCACTGTCGTGGGAAGAGGGTGCCTGAAAGACCTTTGTTCCAGTAAAACTTCTGAATTTTCCAAAAAAAGAAACATTCATAATAGGCCCAGAAACAAATACGCAGAAGAAAGCAAAAGGTCTGTGGTGGGCGGGGGGGACCCCGGGACTGGGCCGTCCTTCCCGTCTGCACAGGGCGGGATGACCATAGGGCGTCACCGCTGTGCAGCCTGGGGGCGAAGGGCCCTGTGGATCCAGTCCACAGCTCGGGGGGAAGACGCGTGGCTGGGGTTCCGACCTCCAGCCACACCTACAACGCCGCCCTGCATGCCACCTGAGGACGTCACGCCGCCTCGCACGCCACCTGAGGGATGGCCACGCCGCCCTGCACGCCGCCCAAAGGCGCCACGGTTAAGGGCAGCTCTGCGTGGCGCAGGCCGGCAGTGTGTGCTGCTCCAGGCAGCCCAGGGCCGTGGCGGGAGGCGACCACGTTGCAGGGGGTTCCTGACCGGCCAGGTGCCAACTCCCTCCTCCTCGCCACGTCTGCAGCATCTGTCGCCAACTCGCAGGGGGCTGTGTCCCATCTCCAAACCAGCTTTCACCTGCTCTGCCTCTGCGGGTGGCGGAGGCCTGGCCCCGCCTCACCGGCAAAGACGGCGGCACGCGGGCCGGTGCCCCGTGGAGCCGGAGGACGTGGAGCCGGGCTGGCATCAGCTGCACAGCCCCTGACGTGCCACTCGGGCTGGTTTGAGACCCAGTGTCCCCAGCTCAGCTGAAGAACCAACGTGACAATCAGCAAACGTGCCAGGACGGCTGTGGGGTCACGCACACGTGTGGTTCTCTCGAGGAGGCGTGGTTGAGAGACGGGACGGTTAACGGGACACACAGGGAGCCAGGGGGAGAAACCGGTGGCAGAGACGCTGGGCACAGAGGGGACCGTGGGGAGAGAAGGGACGGGAGCCCCGCGGCTTGCGGAGCTGCCACACACCACCCCCGTCGTCCCCCCGAACCGCGCGAGGCCCTGGCACCCGCCTCGCAGATGAGGCCGGCGCTCAGTGGCTGTTCCGCGCGTGCTGCCCGCGCCCCAGGGGCCCGTGTCCTGTGGCCGCAGCTCTGGGCAGCATGCACGCGGGGACACCGCCACGGCCATTTCTGGTTCTGGCATCCAGCAGAAGCCTGCGCTTCCCGGGGCTGGGCTGCAGCCTTTTCCTTAAGGACGCGCGAACGTGGCCGGGAACGCCCAGAGCTGCTGCCATTTGTAAGTGCGCTCGGTGAGCGGAGCGATTCATCAGCCGTTCGCCTATAAACTGTGAAACAGTGTTCTTCACGCAGAGGCTCCATCGGTCTCCTTGGGGACAGGTCGCTAAGACGCGCTGTACAAAGGGGGCTCCAACCCAAACAGGTGCAGCAAGAATTCTAGTTATTCACCGGGGCCCAGGACAGGAGGGCGGTCACCTCGGCACGGCGAACGGTGGGGCGAGGACAATGGAACCAGAAGACGAATGACGATCCCGCCACGACGGGCAACTCCTTCGTCCCCTCACGCGAACGTCCCGGGTCTCAGCGAGGAGGGGGAGCTGTGTATCCACCTTAACAGGTAACCTCAGGCCCCCGCTAACTGTGCACAGTCATTACGCATCACACAGGTTGCTTCGCCTACGTAACTTTCCTACCCAAGGAACTCTCCAGACCTGGGAAAAACATTTAGACTCAGTAGACCCTCTCTCCTCTGTGACTGATCCAAATTCAGTCGGGCAGAAGAGGGAGGCAGAGGCAGCAGCCTATGGAGGGGGTTCTCAAAGTGGGGTTCTCCCAGGAACCTGCCAAACCGGAAATCCTCAGGCCCCACCGCTGTGCGTCGACAAGCCCTTTGGGTGATTCAGATGCCACTCGAGTTTGAAAAATACTGACTTAGCACATGGTGCCCTAACATATACAATACAGCACTCCGCCCGAATGTTCCACACAATTAAAACTACACGCGGGCTCTGGGAAGAGAGAGCAGGTGTGATGCAGGAGACACGGGCCGTCCCCTGCGAGGTCACATGTCACTCGGCCCGCCTCACCAGTTTCTCTGCCGATGGCCTTGCGCAAGGACACCGCTCGTTTCTCTCTTGGAAAATCTCGTTGAAAACTGCTTTTACAAGTAGCAAATACTGATGATCAAATTATGGATATATAATCAGGTAACCGATGGTGATATACACAAGTGACATTTTCTTTCTTTTTGTCTTGTTTTTATTTTATTTTTTGGGGCGAGGCAACCTTTGGTTGACCTCACAGATTGCAAGGGCCTTGTCAGCTTACAATCCCTTATTTGTTATTTTTTACGCCTACAGCACCTGGGCTTCCTAGGTGGTCTCCCATCCAAGTACTAACCAGGCCGGACCCTGCTTAGCTTCCGAGATCAGACGGGATGGGGCGTGTTCGGGGTGGCGTGGCCGTAGACCACAAGTGACATTTTCAAAAAGTTTCAGATGAATTGGAAGATGCCTGAAATTATTCTGCCTCTATGACCTGAACGAGTAAATACTAAATGATTAATACTGGTTGCTAAGGAAAATCTTTTAAAATATGAAAACCTAAGCGTCCTCATTTTCTTATAAACGAGTCATGCCCTAGAAAGCAACCCTTTCTCCCACATTCAGGATACTGGCGTTGGTAACAGTTGCATAGAAATAAGACTTTCCAAACGCCTTATCTTTGTGTGGAAGGAAGTCCCCGGAGAAGGAACTGACGTTCTTCCCAGTGACAACGACAACACGCTTTTGGGTTCCTTTCTCAGGAATTAGTAAACAACGAAATTGCTTTCATTTGAAAAGGAAAAAAGAAAAAGCATACTCACAGCAAACGCTTAAATGTAATCCATATGCCACTCACGAGCTTACGAAAGGAGATGGTTTCTGTAAGCCAATTTCTCCACTCATTCCGTGCCAAACAAAACAGATTTCAGTAAAAAGCTTTTGCTGTCCAAGAGGGAACTCGGTTCATTCTGCTATTTGCTTTTCATTCAGAATTCCCGATTCTCTACTTACTGCACTCTACCCCCTCGAGTAGACGCCACCTACTGTGGATAAGCACCTCGAAATCTGGCCAAGACGACCTCTCCTCTGGACTGGACACGTGTCACACGCTGCTGAGGCTGTGCATTCACCTCCGTGCGGACGCGCTCTGTGTCCGTGCCCCCTCCTGTGCTGCAGTGTCCCCCAGGAGGCTGGGACGCAGGGTCCGGGGGCCGCCTCAGCGCGAGGAAGGACACGCGTCCTCACCTTCTCGCTGCATTAGGGTGCACGGGGCGGGCCCTGCTGTCGGGTGCCGGGGACCAGCCTGGGACAGCTCAGCTTCTACACTGGCCAAAAGCAAGGTCCCGTCCTGGCTGTGCTTGGGTATTGTCCCTGCCACGGCCCACCCAAAGAAGGGCGGGTTTGGAAAATAAAAACTTTACATTCCAGGCCATGAAAAGAGGCACTACTGCCCAAGGGTGTCCTGCGCCCCGGAAGTCAGGGTTTGATATTTTAAATGCTGGTTTAAGTCGTCAGCAGGGAGGCAGAGGGAAGGACCCCAAACGGGGACACACTGCTGAGGTCCCAGGCATCTCCTGGTCAGTGTGCAATGACCAGCGCTTGCAAAGACATGCCACTGCTCTCAAGGGAAAAACAATAAAGGAGATTCTGCGAATACCATGTCTCCCCAGACAGGTGTTACCGCCGCAGCAGGCCACTTAATGTGCCCAGACGGGGCTCCCCTACCGTGTCATGCATCATCCCTGTCCTGTACAAACTCGAATTCACAGTCTTAACCGTGTGCCTTTCTCATTAGTGACCGCGACGATGCCCGAAATTTCAATGGTAAACAAAGTAAACGTTGATCGGTGAGCATGGTACTTTCAGGGTGAAGCACGAAGTCAGGTTCCTACCCCCGTAACCGAGGCGCTGTGGCGTCTCACCTTACCGCTGGGTAAAGCTGGAGCATTCACCCCAAACGCTCGCGCCAGAGCCCCAGGTAGGCCCTAAGGTGAGCGTGCGCGCAGGGAGCCTCCTGAGACTCGGCTGCTCCTTTGCCTACCTTTTCTGATGCCTTGTCCTGCATGGGTGGCCCGGTCCCCGGCAGGGCAGGCGGCGGAGGGGCCCGGCGCTTCTTCATGTCTGACCTGACAGACAGCCCCGAGATGCTGCTCAGCGACAGAGATGGGCCCAGCACGGTGGGGCGGGAGCTCACAGGCGGTGAGTCTGGCGTCATGCAGCCCTGGTGGGGAGAGGCAGACAAACTCGTCACCCGAGGGACCGCTGGACGTGAAACCGAGGGCCGGACGTCCCTCCGGCTTCTGAAAGTCGTTTCCATTCTCAGGCGGGAATGGCCTGTGCCAAACCCGTACTGTCACCCTCCTGGGAAAGACAGCAGAAGACGCCGCGTGACAGAGTCCCACGTCCCGCCGTAAGGGCTTTGTTCTTAACCGCAGGACAGGGCGGAGCTTTTCAACCTCGAGGGCACTTCCTGGCCGGAACCAGCCCCTGCTGCGGACCCGCAGGTGTGACTCAGCCTCTGAACCCGCAGGTGTGACCGGTCTCGGTGCCCACAGGTGTGACCGGTCTCGGTGCCCACAGGCGTGACCAGCCTCTTGCCCGCAGGTGTGACCAGCCTCCCCGCCCGCAGGTGTGACTGGCCTCCCCGCCCACAGGTGTGACTCAGCCTCTGAACCCGCAGGCGTGACCGGCCTCAGTGCCCACAGGTGTGACCAGCATCTTGCCCGCAGGGGTGACCCGGCCTAGGTGCCCGCAGGTGTGACTGGCCTCCCCGCCCGCAGGTGAGGGCGGCCTCTCCCACGCGAGGAGGGAGGAGCAGGCCCCCCGCACGGTCCTCGCGGGCGGGAAGGCCCAGTTCTCGCATCCCGAGTCGCTTCGCCTCCCTCTAGCCCTCGGACGTCGGGGACAAACGCCTGTGCAGCAGAAAGGGCGGGCTGCGGACTTTCCGTGACGCTCGAATGCGCCACTCCGCGAGGGGCTCACGGCCCCTAGGACGACATGAGCCCGGCCCGCGGTGACCCTGTCAGGGCAATGTCTACACCGCGAGCGGCCTGAAGGGCGCAGAACCGTTTCTCATGCTCCTCCCCGTGGTCTGCCTGACAGACTCGCACGCATGCTCGTGCAGAAGCCGCGTCTAGACAACTCGCGTCCTAATTTCAAATGAAAAACAAAGTGACCGCACGCCCGTCCAGGGCCCCCCCTGAAGACCCCCTGCTCGGCTGCCCTCCTTACACGTAAGCCCAGCGCCTGCCACGCGAGGCCCACGTGGTGGGGCACTGAGCCCACGGACGCCGGAGACACCCGCAGGGACAGGTCCTGGCTTTGCCGCTGATGAGCTGCGTGACCGCGGACCAGCTTCCCGATTATTCTCTGCCTCAGTTTATCTCCCCAGGAGCGGGGCAGACACCAGCACCCACACACAGAGGTGTCGTGGGTCGCCACCTACGGAAGACCTGAGCAAGCTCTCGGCACGAGGTGGGGACCCAGTGTGCTGGCTGTGGTGGCTGTCACGCATTTGTTTTTCTGCCCATTCTAATGTGGGGCCCGTGGGACACTGATGGTTGCCATTTTCACCTGCTGCCCCGCCCAGCCCGACAGCCCCTGGCGCAGAGGACCCCGAGCAAGCCTGCGGGAACGGATGCACGAGGCGCGGCCTCTGGGCAGCCCCGCCCTCGCCTTTTACACCGGGAGCTTGTGGCAGGTTTCACAGGAGCAACTGGGTCCCCATATTCAAATCAAACGTGTGAAGGCGAGCTCTCCCGGTCGCCCGCGCCCAGCGGCACCTCTGCTCAGACCCAGATTCTAACCAGTGCTGCCAACGACCACACTGCCGTTCAGTCCTCTGACAGCATCTCGGAGACCTGGCTGTTCTGAAACTTAAACGTGAAAGTCAAAGCAGAAAAACGATCCCCCAAGTTGCATTTCACGCCAGGTCAGGCGCCCCCCTGAGACGCTGGGAGTCAGGGGATCTGACACCTTGTTCAAGTGCAAGAAACAGGTAAAGGACCACGGGAAACAGCCGGATGCCCGGGAAATAGCCGGATGCCCAGAAAATCCATCGATGTCTATTTAGGCTCCCATGAAAAAATGTAAAGAAAAAGTGTGAACGTTTCTCCCAGCCCTTGAGTTCAGCAGACGTCGGACGCGTTACTATGTAAATAAGCCACTGGCGGCGAACTGTTGTTACATAATATCCTCGGCCTCCGTCGCTGCTGTGAGGACGCGAGACAGAACTCGGGTTTCCTCCACAAAGCAGGGTCCAGGGGAGGAAACGGAGCCGAGCGGAGCAGGGCTGTGGCGCAGTGGCCTCGGATGGCTCGCCCACGCCCCCCACATGCAAGGGGACACGGCCATGTGTGACGGAGGGCTGTCAAAGCTGGCGGCACACAGAGGACCGTGCCCGTGCCAGCACCGTTATCTCAGAAGCACGCGGGGCCCCTTCCGGGGTCCCCTGAACCGAGCTTCCTGACGACGCACTTCACACCCCCGAGGATAACGGTCTCTTCACTCCACCCAGCCGGACCGGACGTCAAGCTCCTCCCGTCCATACCCACGCCCGGCTGATCACTCAGCCCCGCTAGGAAGTCACCTCCATCCTTCAAGTGCCCTGAAGCTCTGGGCGGAATGCGCCCTTAGAAGCCCTGCGCAGGTCATCCGTCGTACGCTGACGTCAGGTACTAAATCTGTAGTCCTACTGCCTTCTAGGCGTTCTGATATCTTGGGTGGTCACCTCCCCGAGGTGACGAACCGACCTCAGGTCTCCTGATGCAGCAGCCACCACGCGCACACAGGTGGGGTTCTCACGGCACACGCGTCCTCGTCTTTAAAGCGGGAGAGTCCATTTCCGTCCAAGTTGTCAGCACCTGACACACTGCCACGTCAGGGGTGTCCCACACGAGTGGCTTCCTTCTTCCCCGACAAGCATTTTAGGTAAGAACGTCCTCATTAGGGCCGCACTGAGACAGCAGACGGCGGAGGCCTGGAGCGTACCTGTCCCAGTGCCCAAGGGCTCTGACACCTGCCGTCCCGGACGGCTGGCTCTCCCAGCCCAGCATCTGTGTCTCTGGGACGGAACTGGATGCTGACATCGCAGGGTTTTATTCGGCCCACAAGCGTGTCTCCCCACGGCTGCTGCACACGCACGGGCGAGTGGAGCCCGGCGCCTCCATGTGCTGCCCCCCAGGCCCTAGCCCTGCTGACGGCCTCTCCGCCCCCGGCCAGAGCACGCTGGCTGCCCAGAGGGCGTCCGCCTATCTCCCCGTTCCCGCCTCCGGAATCCATGCGCAGAATGTAGCAAACAAACCACAGAATGATTTGGGTGGAAAATACCATTAAGTGTCAGACGTCCTTTAAAACGCTGAGCATCGACAGTAAATAAAATGGAAAACTGAAAGTTTAGTCCACGTGGCCTAAGCCGAGACAGCCTGGCCTGGGTCCTCCCCACTCCAGTTCCAGGGTTTGCTCCTGGCACGAAGTTGCGAAAGTCCACAGGGACAGACTAGGCTTGTCTGCAAGAAGGACCTGGTTCCCGCTCCGTGCGGACTGGCCGGCTGCAGGGGAGTGAGTAATGCTCCTCCCAAGGGCCGGCACCCAGATCCACAGGTCCTGGCTCCCGAGGTCTTACCAGACTGTCCCAGGAGCTTTCCTGACAGTGCAGCCCGATAACTCGTTAAGGGGAAGGTGCATGCCGCAGAGAGAAAAGGGAAGAAATCCGTCACGGCCTCCGTGTCCCAGACCTCGGGGGCCTCCGACTGCGGGGAGAAGGCCTCTGCCAGGCGGCCGTGAGCTGCAGGGGCGTCAGAGGGGACGGCGCTCAGCCTGCGTCCACAGGGCTGTGCGAGCTGCTAACGCGTGCCACTCAGCACGAACCGCAGGGCGGTCCTGTGTCACACGCATCTGGCAGTGGAGGATGAGGAAGACAAGGAACCAATGTCGAGATCTCAGTGTCAGCTCAGAATGAGGCCAGCATCCCCGGGCCAGGCGATTTCGACCTAGATCTCTAATTCTGAGCTAAGAAGACGTGTCATCGATCATTTCTGTTTGAAATGTGCTCCTCATCTCAGCAAGGGCTGTTTGCCTCGTGTTGGATCGTCACGGCAACCGTGCAGAGCCACGAATGCGGGGCGGGACACGGGCACCTGCACCGGTTCCGGGTGACAAGCCTGGCTGCTCCTGGCTGACAGCCGGCTCTCAAACGCGGCTGCAGGCCCAGCCCCTCGTCACCACTCACTGTGCTCGGCCAGAGGCGTGAGGGCACCTGGCCGTCACCGCTACCTCGCTCAGACCAGGACGAGGGAGGCCCCTTCACACCCGGCCCCTTGCCCCGGCTGCCGCCAGCTTCCCTCCGCGTGGGGACCCGCCTCTCCGGGGCGCTGCCCACGAGCAGCAGTGGCCGCGATGCGCCTCTGTGCCTGGCTGTCTCCCTCGGCATCGTGACACCAGGGCTCAGCCAGGCTGCCGGAGGGGCAGCAGCGAACCTTCCGGTGGCCGCCGAGTGCCGTCCCTGCACGTGGGGACGTGCTGCTGGCCCCCGCGTCTGCGCATGGGCGTCTGGACTGTCTTCGCCTCCTGGCTATTGTGAATGGAGCTGCTGGGAACATCTGTGCACAAGTTTTCCTTGAAAACCTGTTTCCCACTCCCGCAGGTCTGCACCCCGGAGCAGAGCCGCTGGGTCACGTGGGAATGGCGCATTTAACTTCTGACGGACAGCCAGGCCGCCGTCCCCACAGCCGCGCCCTGCCCTTCGCCGCAGTGCCCGAGCTTCCGACTTCTCCTCGTCCTTGCCCGCGCCTGCCGGTCTCCTTTCAAAAGCAGCAGGGGCCTCTGGCTGGCGTGGAGCGGTGTCGCATCGCGGTTTGGCTTGCATTTGTAATCAAGCGCGACCCTGGGCACCTTCCGTGGGCAGCTGCTGTTAAAGTCAAGGTGAGACCCACTGGTCTGGAGTTCCCCCCACCGACCACACACACTGTGCAGCTCGGACATGGCTCCTATGTCCTCGTCTCTTGGGATGGAGCCATCAAGCGTCGGCCACCAACAGTTTCTGGGGGGTGCTCACGTGCATAACGAAGCCCCACGGGCCAAACCTGCCCAGGAGCTGCGACCCCATGCCCGGCCTTGACCTCGGAGAAGCACACCGGAAATGCATGGCTGTCTTCCAGGGGAAACCCCGGACAGCATCCATCCGTTTTAAGTAAACCGTCCATCAACTTTGGTTCTTTGCTG